AAATAAATTAAAAAAAAAAAAAAAAAGACAGCTTAGGACCTCCAAAAAGCAATGAGTCTCTGACGAAAATAATGAGGCTGAGGAAACCGTTTGATCAAAAGCAATTCTCAACACTGTATAGCAGTGACATTCTTAGGTGCTTTTTCAGACATGTCTAGATACATCAGATACATCAGTGTCTGCTCCATCCACAGTCCCTTATGAGGGATGCTGCCCTATACATGGCTCCTGTTGAAGGAGGCAGCTGTAGTCAGCCACATTTTGTACCCAGAACAGCCTCTCCTGTTGCTTCCCCCAGCCACAGCTGACAAAAGAAGGTTACATGATGAGTGGTTAATCCACAGGCTGACCACTGATCTACAATGTGCCTCAACAGAATCCCATCAACATAATTCAATACGTTAATGAAACAAAGAGAATCGTATCATCATCTTAACTGATGCAGAAACAGCATTTGATAAAATCCAACACCCATTCCAGGTAAAAACTCTCCCCAAAACAGGAATAGAAGGGAAATTCCTCAATATAATTAAGGTATATATAGGCACTTGACTGCTAACCAAAAGACTGGCAGTTCAAACCCACCAGCCACTCCTGGGAAGGAAGGTTGGACAATCTAATTCCGTAGTGATACTGCCTCGGAAACCCAAGGAGGGGTCACTATGAGTCGGTTCCGACTCAAAGGCACATAACAACAAAAACATACAAAATCAACAACCAACATTATTCTCAATGGAAACTGAAAGTATTCCCCTTGAGAACAGGAAGGCAAGGGTGCCCGTTATCACTACTCCTATTCAGTATTGTACCATATTGCCTAACTACAGCAATAAGGCAAGAAGGAAAATAAAGAGCATCCAAATTGGTAAGGAAGAAGTAAAACTCTCCTGACTCTATCCCATACACAGAAAATCCCAGAGACTCCACAAAAAGTTACTGGAACTAATAGAAGGCTAAAGTGTAAAGCAACAGGGTGCAAGATCAACATAGAAAAATCCGTTGGATTCCTCTACAGTAACATATACATCTAGATCAACTGGCATAACATAGCACATAAAGACAATGTTCTACATCCTAGTTTGGTGACGAGTATCTGGTGTCTTAAAAGCTTGCGAGTGGCCAGCTAAGATACAACTATCGATTGCTTTCCACCCAGAGCAAAAAAGAGTGAAAAAAGCCCCAAAGATTCAAGGAAGCAATTAGCCCAAATGAACAACAGCCTCCTCCAGCATGAGATCTGAAGAACTAGATGGTGCCCAGCTACAATTATCAAATATTTTGACCAGGCCACCTCTCAACCAAATAAGTGATTGCCTTATAAAACAAACAATAATGCCATAAGGAATGTTGTCCTTAGAACAATCAACTATATGAAACCAAAAGAGCAGCATTTGCCCAAAATCAAAGATGAGAAGGCAGGAAGGGAAAGGGAAAATGGAGAAATGGAAACAGAGAACCCAGGGTGGAAACAGGGAGAGCACTAACACATTGGGGAGATTGCAACCAATGTCCCGGAACAATCTGTGTTTGAATTATTGATGGAAAACTAATTTGCTGTGTAAACTTTCACCTAAAGCACAATAAAATGTTCAAAAGAAAAAAAAAGTCCAGAATCCCAGCTCAGGAATATAAGTCGGAAAGCACAAAGAAAATGAAGTAGTGAGCATCCTGGAGCTGAAGTTGGAGTGAGATTTATGGAGAGGAGTCTTGAAATAGAATCAGGATCATAAAAGGAGAAGTAGAGTCAAAAGTAAGCCAAAATAATAATGGAGCAGAAATAACAGCAAGTGGAATCAACAAGGTGAAAAATAAAATCAACAAGGTAAAACATAAAATCAACAGCATAGAAGGAAAGTATAAAGTAAGAAGGGAAGAAGCTAGCACAGGCTGATTGTGACAGGGACGTAGGTATTAGAACTGAGGTAAAGATGGGGCCTTGGTCAGAGGGAATGAAAATACGGCCAGTTACCAGAGTAGCTAAACTACTAACTTCAAAGAACAGCAATCTAACCCTGTGGCTGTCATTTCTGATTGAAGACGACTACATGTGTTACACAGCAGGATTGTGCTCCATAGACTTTTCTTGCTTTAATCTTTACAGAAGCAGATCGTCGGGACTTCCTTCCCCAGTGCCAATGGGTGGGTCTGAACTCCAACCTTCTGGTTAGCAGCCAAGCAAAAATCATTTGCACCACCTTAGAATTTCTTACATTTCCTCATAGAGAGGAGTAGCTCAAGCCATGGGAATGGGAGAAATGAAAGGATTGGAATTAAGCAATTCAATCCAACCAGATTATGGATAAGCAGGGATTCCAGTTCCAGGCATAGTGGGCATCATCTTCCTTGTCCAGTATCCCTACTCCAATCTTCCTCTAGGGAACTTTCCCCACTTTCAGCCAATCTGTTGCAGCGGAGGCTTAAATCCCACTTCCTTCCTCCCCACCTTGGATGCATGGTAAGACTTGTGACCTTATCTAGCCAATCAGCATATTCTACCTCACTAGTCATAGTAGTTAGTTCAGACATAGACATGTGACCCGTGTTAGTCCAGTGAGAGTAAGCCATGACTTTTCTCTACTGGAAAAAGATTGCTCTGTTCCCACTAAGGTTGCTCATTGGTAGGATATAAGCTAGGAGATTTTAAAGGCAACTTCTGGCATCTCTTGGGGAATGACGACTTGAGAATAAAGTAGTCAGATATAGGAGAGCAGCCAAGAGATACAGAAAGCACCTAAAGCCATTTCAGTGCCTGGATCCAGCTGTGCCTGAAGCTCCTAATACCTCTGGATGTTTCCCTTTTCTTCCTTAACCTAGTCAGTATTGCATTTCAGTCACTTGTCACTGAAACAGTCCTAAATACACTCAAAAATTGGGGGAGTGGGGAGACACAAATACCACAAGGTCTTACATCCAGAAAAAGCATCAGGAATCTAGACATCTACAGAGACCAAAGGACAGGACTAGGTAACTGAATAGCTTTTGGGGAGGAGAAAAAGACCTTGATAACTGAGTCAAAAGTTGCTTCATTTTAGAAATACTTTTTGCAATGGCTGTAGTCAAGTACAGCTATCCAAGACAAGTACTTATATATAAAGATAGCTGAGGAAGAATGACGGACAGAGAGAAAAGAAGGAATTGAAATGGAAAACAAGATTATGAAACAATGCAATCAGATGAGGAATTAAACACTCAAATTGGCTGCAAGCTTGCAAACTTCCCAGAAATTTCATCTACCAAAAACATTTTTATCTATAAATTGTGGGCTACAATGATTTCTTTATAAGTTTGATGATTTAACTTAGATGTTATCCAAATACTGTTTTCTTTTTTAAATAAAAGTACCTTTGAGCTTGACTTTTAAAAGTAGGTTACAAGTGTTAATCCTAACTTACAAGAGTAGTTACCCAATTGCAGAAGTCACCAACTCCTTTGCGTACGTTTTCATAAAGAAGAGGACCATGGAGCAAATCTGTTGCACTTGGTTTCTTTCCTTCATGAACCCATTGGCCTGAATGTGACAGAAGAGTCTTCTTGGGACTAAACATAAAGAGATTAAAAAAGGATTACAATATGTTGTTGTTGTTGCTGTTAAGTGCCATCGAGTCCTTTCCGACTCATAGCGACCCCACGCACAGCAGAACGAAACACTGCCTGATCCCGCGCCAGCCTCACAATCCCTGCTATACTTGAGCTCATCATTGCAGCCACCATGTCAATCCATCTCGTTGAAGGCCTCCCCCTCTTTCGTC